TGCCAAACCTTCAGCCGACCGACACCCGCCCGGCACGGTGGGGTTTTGCAGGGCTGTTCTGGCTCATCCCCACTGAACCTCTGGCTCACTTTCTCGCAGGGACCAGCACAACAGCTGTAGCACAAGCCCAGGGAGACGAATGCATGCAAGCCGTGCTGCTGACATTGAATTTTAAGTTGTGGGCGTCCAAAGCCGCCTCTTCCAGACCGTGAGAGTCCAATTCCCTGAACTTGGAGGAGAACCAGCCAGGAAACGTGGGGTTAAGATGACACTTCCCACATGGCCCCACTACATAACCTTAACTTTGCCCCCCTGGGAATGGCAATAGGAACTGGAACAGGATCTTATCTCTCCTTGGCTGTATTTGATACATTCCCTCAACATAAACTCAAGATCTCAACTTAAAGCCAAGGGGTTTGAAGGCTACGTCTACGCTGTTAAATGAAGGAGGGCCACGGGTTTATCCATGGTCCCGAGGTGGATGGCCATGAGGGATGGAGAAGCATCATTCTTTTTGTCTTGTGGCCAGATTGAGTTGAGCATCTTTGGTCATGATGCAGGTGGGACCGATCAATGCCTGGAGACATCCAGATGGGTCCCCCTGGAGGTTATTCACTAACTGCCTGACATGGACACGAGAAAGGAGTGTTGGTCCTCATCATCTGGGAGCTGGGCACTGCAGCAAGGCAAGTTGGAATGGGTTTGGGACCTCTGGCTCGTAATTCACCCTGTATGCCTTACCCTCATGGGGACATCTCTCCGTTTTGGGCCAACGTGAGAACGCAAATGTCTTGACTTTCCCCTTTAGCATGTACTAGTCATCAAATACTATTTTTCTGCCTCAATTTCCTTTCTTGCCTCCTTTTCTGCCCCTCAGCAGGACCCATCGTCAGCATGTGACCTGGGCACATGAGCTGCCTTTTTCTCTAGAGCAAAAATACCCCACAACGTAAAAAATGCAGAGCGATCTTGGCAGTCCCCTTCTGCAGCCACAGGATTTATCTTCCCAGACCTTGCAATACCCTCCCAGCCCCACGAAGCAATCCATCTCTCACCTGCTATTACGGAGCTCATCTCACAGACCTAATGGAGTACACGAGTCCTGAATTGGCTCCCACTAATGCTCTCGGTGGCGGGGTCGCTGTGGGAAGCAAGCTGGGAATTCATTTTGAAAATCAATGCGGACGTCAATAGAGCGGCTTCCCCCAGGGAAGCAGTGTGCTTTTTACCAGGCGTTACCGCCTACTCCCCTTCGTCCCCTGTTTTCTTTTATGCAGTCGGAGTAGCCATGGAGTAATTCATCCCGCTTTCAATTAGCGTGTCTTTTGTGCTCTGCTCTCAGGTTTCCCCAGATCAGACTGATTTTGGGGAAAAGATCAGGGTCTCGTGGCAGTTCAGGATTCACTGGGCTCCTCAAAGTGTTGTGATTTGAAATTGCTGTGCCTCGGTGTGATGCTGGGGACTGTCTCCTCTGTGCAGCCCCAACTCCCCCCTTAGGCTGTGTTGGCATGAATAAATTGGTGTATTTTCTAACTCCCAGGTGTATTTTGGCCTGCCATGGCTTTTCCATGCAATGGCAAGTGCAGAGCCTGCAGGGATAGTGTCGGAGGACTGCTCAGGGCAGAAGGACCCCAACCAAGCCTCAGTTGTCCCCAGAGGTGATCTTCATTCTGGGATGGGGACACCACATCAACCTGCCATCCTCATGTCATCCTTGGAAGAGCCTTGGCCAAAGCCCAATGTCATGGGCAATTCTTGGCTGTGATTTGGGAGGTAGCAAGACTGGGGGGCTGTTCTTGAGAGGCACTTTGCATGCAGCCCCCCTTTTTTTGATAGCAATGTGGGTATGGGCTCTACCATGCTGGTTAACCTCAAATCACTTGATTTGGGACTAAGATTTGTGACTCGTAGAGCTCTCAAGACTCCTTTTCCAATGGGGATCAGTCTGCACTGCTACAGCATAAATATTTAATAAGAATGAGGGTCAAGGAACTGTTTTGTCCAAGGACAATGAGATGGCCATTTACTCCCATGAAAAGCACCAAGGGATCTTTAATGCCCATATGAAGAAAGCAGGAGTTGGAGTTTTAAGCTCTCATCCCCCACCATTAATGTCAATGTTAAATATTGATCCTTTCTGTGTTTAGCACAAACCAAACAACAGAGTCGAGCCATGCTCTTTCACTTTTATTAATGTACTTTTTCTGCATTGGGTGAAGTTTGCTGTAATGCCAGGAAAAAAAATGTGGCAGCGGTGAACGAGCAGCAGACAGATCGATTTTGTATCTTGACACGATTCAGAAGGCGGTGAAAAATCACCCCATGTGGAGCATCTCCTTGTCCGAGCCATGACAACCATTTCACAGAGGACTCTTTTCTCTGCAGTGTAAGAGAGTCAGGCTCAGAATTTCTGGTAGGATCTGGGATTTGAGGGAAGGAATGCAAAAAAGAGGTTGGAAATCTGTAAAAACCCCCCTGTCCCCATGTTGGATCAGGTTACCTTGTAGGTGTCTGAAGTCAAATTTGAGGAGCAGGTGGACATTGTGTTAGGGCAGATGTGGGAGCAATACCTGGGTCAGTGGTGGCCAGAAAATGGGTGGATTTACCCAAAAGATGGCCGGTTTTCCTGCATTTTGCACCACCCCCAAATAAATGTAAATCACAGCTATTAGAAAAGGTGACTTCAGTGAACCACAATGGGTGGTTTTCACATGCAAAACATTCAATACCAGGTTGGATGGGGCTGTGAGCAACCTGATCTAGTTAGTGGTGTCCCTGCTCACTGCAGGGGGGTTGGACTAGATGACCTCTAGGGGTCCCTTCCAACCCAAAACATTCTATGATTCTATGTTTCTGTGGTCTTCTGCAGCCAGAGTTGGATCAGCTTTCCTAAAACATTCTGCAGCTTGTGGGTTTTCTGGGGTTTGGTTTTGGTTTGGGCCTGCCATCCTCATGTCATCCTTGGAAGAGCCTTGGCCAAAGCCCAATGTCATGGGCAATTCTTGGCTGTGATTTGGGAGGTAGCAAGACTGGGGGGCTGTTCTTGAGAGGCACTTTGCATGCAGCCCCCCTTTTTTTGATAGCAATGTGGGTATGGGCTCTACCATGCTGGTTAACCTCAAATCACTTGATTTGGGACTAAGATTTGTGACTCGTAGAGCTCTCAAGACTCCTTTTCCAATGGGGATCAGTCTGCACTGCTACAGCATAAATATTTAATAAGAATGAGGGTCAAGGAACTGTTTTGTCCAAGGACAATGAGATGGCCATTTACTCCCATGAAAAGCACCAAGGGATCTTTAATGCCCATATGAAGAAAGCAGGAGTTGGAGTTTTAAGCTCTCATCCCCCACCATTAATGTCAATGTTAAATATTGATCCTTTCTGTGTTTAGCACAAACCAAACAACAGAGTCGAGCCATGCTCTTTCACTTTTATTAATGTACTTTTTCTGCATTGGGTGAAGTTTGCTGTAATGCCAGGAAAAAAAATGTGGCAGCGGTGAACGAGCAGCAGACAGATCGATTTTGTATCTTGACACGATTCAGAAGGCGGTGAAAAATCACCCCATGTGGAGCATCTCCTTGTCCGAGCCATGACAACCATTTCACAGAGGACTCTTTTCTCTGCAGTGTAAGAGAGTCAGGCTCAGAATTTCTGGTAGGATCTGGGATTTGAGGGAAGGAATGCAAAAAAGAGGTTGGAAATCTGTAAAAACCCCCCTGTCCCCATGTTGGATCAGGTTACCTTGTAGGTGTCTGAAGTCAAATTTGAGGAGCAGGTGGACATTGTGTTAGGGCAGATGTGGGAGCAATACCTGGGTCAGTGGTGGCCAGAAAATGGGTGGATTTACCCAAAAGATGGCCTTTTCGTTAGAGTTTTCAGTTTTCCTGCATTTTGCACCACCCCCAAATAAATGTAAATCACAGCTATTAGAAAAGGTGACTTCAGTGAACCACAATGGGTGGTTTTCACATGCAAAACATTCAAGGCCAGGTTGGATGGGGCTCTGAGCAACCTGATCTAGTTAGCGGTGTCCCTGCTCACTGCAGGGGGGTTGGACTAGATGACCTCTAGGGGTCCCTTCCAACCCAAAACATTCTATGATTCTATGTTTCTGTGGTCTTCTGCAGCCAGAGTTGGATCAGCTTTCCTAAAACATTCTGCAGCTTGTGGGTTTTCTGGGGTTTGGTTTTGGTTTGGGTTTTTTATGGGGGTCTACAGCTTGGCTGTAAAAATTCATCCCTGGTTCACATTCTTGGAGCACACTTATTAGAGGGCTGGAGTAGCCAGGTGATTATTTCTGACCTCTGGGATATTCTCCGTTGAAATGAATTTAATATTTTAAAGTGTATTTCTCCTTGAGCAAGGGCAGCGGGCACTAGCAGTCATGCCTTGGGTCTGCATCCCATTTTCCTAGCAGAAAACAGCAGAAACTCCTTTGAGGTCACAAAATTGGGGAACATGGGAATATTTCTCATCTCTGCTGTCATTATGTCCATCCACATTCCCACCTTGTGCCTCAGTTTACCCAGCTGTAAAAGGATAGCAGTGATGTCCTTACACAGAGGAATGGGGATGACTTACATCACATCTCTAAAGCCACCTACAAGAGGTCTCTAAGAAAAGACAGAAGCAGAAACTGTGATGTGAAAGCTCTTCTCTTCCTTTTCCTTTTTAACCAGGTTTTAACAACCCACTGAGCTCCCTGTGAATTGGGCTGACATCCCCCAGACATCCCTGCAAGCCGCTAAGCATGTGATAAAATATGATAAGATTATAAAATTATGAAATATGATGAAATATTTTCTTACATGTTACCTATAGTTGCATGTGCTCCAAGTAAAGGAGCCTGCTGCTGAGTGCATCACTCAGAGCCAGAAGCAAACCCCACTGACTTCCATAAATGCCGGAGCATTTAAGTAAGGAAAATCCTGGGAACACAGGCTGCGGGGTCACTGCAGCTGGCTACTCACCAGTGAGTTTTTTTCCCTTCACAGATACCCTGAGGAGCATCGCCTCCATGAACCACGGGCCACGGTCCTCCCCAGCAGAGCTTAGCGGTGCCAGCCATCACCTGCTGCGAGAGCGCAAGTCCTCAGCACCGTCCCACTCCAGCCAGCCCACCCTGTTCACCTTTGACTCGCCCACCAGCCACCTCCAGAGCACCCTGTCTGCCAGTGCCCCCCAGGATTACCTTTTCCTCCACCAGTGTATGAGCAGAAAGTCAGAAAACGCAAGGTATTGTAGCCTGCCTGGGAGCAAGCCTTGGGGACAGCTGGGGGTGAGCAGCTCAACCCACCTCCGTCTTTGGAGGTCTGCAAAACCCAGCTGGAGAAAGACCTGAGCAATGGGCTCATCTCATCGTGGTTGGGAGGCGCGACCTTCCAAGCTCCCAGCTTTCCTGGCTTTCTGGGTTGTATTAAAAACTGGCTGAATGGCCGGACCCAGAGGGCAGTGATGAGTAGCACAAAGTCTAGCTGGAGGCAAGTCACTAGTGGTGTACCCCAGGGGTCAATACTGGGTCCAGTCCTGTTTAACGTCTTCCTTAATGATCTGGATGATGGGGCAGAGTGTACCCTCAGCCAGTTTGTAGATGACACCAAGCTGGGAGGAGTGACTGATACACAAGAGAGTCATGGTGATACACCAGAGGGGCCTCAAACAGGCTGGAGAAATGGGCCAGCAGGAACCTCATGAAGTTCCACAAGGAGAAGTGCAAAGTCCTGCACCTGGGCAGGAACAACCCCAAGCGCCAACATACGTTGGCAGCCACCCAGATGGAAAGGAGCTTGGCAGAAAAGGCCCTGGGGGTCCTGGTGGACACCAAGTTGAACATGAACCAGCAGTGGGTCCTTGCAGCCAAGGTGGCAAATGGTATCCTGGGCTGCATTAGACGAAGTATTGGCAGCAGGTTGAGGGAGGTGACCGCTCCCCTCTGCTCAGCACTGGTGAGGCCACACCTGGAGTGCTGGGTCCAGGGCTGGGCTCCCCAGTACAAGAGAGGCATGCACATCCTGGAGAGAGTCCAGCAAAGGGCCACAAAGACGCTGAAGGGACTGGAGCATCCCTGCTATGATGGAAGGTTGACAGAGCTGGGACTGTTCAGCCTGGAGAAGAGAAGGCTCAGGGGGATCTTATCAATGTATATAAGTACCTGAAGGGAGGGTGCAAGGTGGATGGAGCCAGGGTCTTTTAAGTGGCACCCAGAGCCAGGACCAGGGGCCATGGGCACAAACTGAAACACAGGGGGGCCCCTCTGAGCATCAGGAAACATTTTTTCAATGTGAAGAAACTGAGCCCTGGCACAGATTGCCCAGGGAGGTTGTGGAGTCTCCATCCTTGGAGATATTCAAAAGCCATCTGGACAAGGTCCTGGGCAACTGGCTCTGGGTGGCCCTGCTTAAGCACAGGGGTGTTAGACGAGATGACCTCCAGACGTCCTTTCCAACCTCATCTACTCTGTGATCCTGCAGACGGGGCCCTAATTCTTGCCTTTAACCAGCAAAAACACAACCAGAGGGATGGGCAGGGTTTGCACCACTCTGCCATTCATCCCTGTTGTAGCCCAGAGCTCGCTGGGCTTCGCGGCAGCCCGTGGTGCACGGTGTGGCATTTCTGAGAGAGCGACAGCTCTCCGCCTCCAGACCCAGCCAGTTGCCTTAAATAGCGAAGAGTTTTTTTGGCGTGAAGAGTTTTGGCTCACAAGAGTGGCGAGGAGGGAGGGAGGGAGAGGCGGTCAGAGCCCAGCTGGCGTGGGGTGAGAGCAGAACCTGGGCTCCAGCCTCCGCTGGGCTTTCCTGCTGCATCTGCCTTTCCTTACCCGAAAAACAACAGAAAAAGGCTCAGAAAAATGACCCTCAGATGGAGTTAATGGAACAGTGTTTTTAAAAAAGGCCTTCTGACGCTCCAGCTGTGAGGATACCTAAGGGCCACGCTCCGAGAGCCTGAGAACAGCTGGGACAGCGAGGAGGACGGAGCAAGTGCTGATGCTTTGGTGGGCAGAGACAAACTGGCCAGCAGCAGCTTCTGCAACTGGACCAGAAATAATCACCCTGATCAATGCCCAGTGCATGGGGCCAGGCTGCAGGACTGCTGGGAATCCCTCCTCTTTCAGCTCCAGAGCTCTTACTTTACTCATCCATAAAATGAGGGTAATAGTAGCTAATTGGTGGACGATGCTGAATAATTAACCCGTGAGATGTTTCAAGTCCTCTCCCGAAAGGACCCTGCCAGAGCCCAAACATCTCCCCAGCAGACTGAGCTCCCAAGGCGGCAGGGATTCATTTGTCATATCACAGCATCATTCGTTTTTTCCCCAAATAAGCTCGATTTCTGAGCGCCATCTCGTGCTGGCTCCATGAAACAGAGTCCCTGTTCTCCCCACAGAGCATCAACCCCGCCGGAGCGGTGTAAACCAGCATCTCCCAGCTTTTCCCATAGGGCTGGCACTTCCCCAGTGATTTGCTGCAAGTGGAACCACCCCCTCCCCAACACCATTTCACTTTTTGCCAGCGTGGTGGTTGATACAGGGTGGGACTCCCCTCCATGGGGAGATGTTTAAATGGGGCTGGCTGAGCCCTTCTTGGCTATGAGCATGTGGTCCCCAAAAGCTTGACCCACACAAAGCAAAAAGACCCAGCCCAAGACTACCAGTGTATATGACTCTCCTGGTGTATAGGCATTCGCTCTCCATGGACCTCTGTCATATTTTCCTCTTCCGCATTGCTTCAGATGACTAGGAGGAAGGCATCATCATCATCCACGTTTGGCTTTGCTGCATCTCGCCCTTGTGTCCCAGCATTTCCACAGCGATGCTCGCATTTCCCCGAGTCTTGTGGGATAGGCGTTGAGGTGGGGGGACAGAAAAGTCCATGTGGCAAATTCAGGCATCCCTTGACTTGAGAAAATGTCATCTGCTGGGGTTATGGGTGTAGAAAGCTGAAATCATGGGGCTCATCATCTTATGCAACGCTGGAGCATTGAAAGAAGAAGCAGCAGGAGAGATAAAACAGGAGATGAAACATATTGGAGGGAATCAGTGGAGGAGGGAATCAGCAGAGGAGCATTGGCTAACGAGCATTCATTAGAGGACCAAGGTCTCCCCAGTGCTCGCCCTCCGTCTTGGCTGGTGTCCCCGAGCATGACCACAATGCAAATCAAGGAGTCATTAGTGAGGCACGGACCTAATGACCACGCTTCCCCACTTGACTCCAGGGGACTCAAAGGCTTTTGTACATCTGAATCCAGCCCTGAGGTTCATTCCTATCTACCTGCAGCTAGGATCAGGGCTGCAGGACCCAAATCCCAGCAGAGGAATGTCCGTGCTTCCCCAGGGCTTGCCCTGCAAGAGAGAAGGGTGGTGGCATGGCTGGATGCTTTGAAATAATCCCCATCAGGAATTTTGCCAATCCCTCTCAAGCACGTTTGCAAGGCGGAGGTGAGAGTAAGCGTCCCTCCTGCGCTGCAGACGGGGAACCGTAGCGTGGTGCCGATGCTGATGGGGTGGCTCTTTGCAGCCATGTCTCTGGTCACTGTCAGCTGGTGTGAAAATTGCCCATTTGGAGCAATTTATGTTTGAATTGTTCCTGCCCGTAGCCTCACCATGGAGCTGGGTACATGTATCTCCTACCCCATGATGGGGTCATTTTGAAGGTGTTTCAGGAAAAAATGGATTATGAGTACATTTGGAAGGGTCTGAGATGTTCCCATCACCATGGGGTTGGGCAATGACAGTCGGGAAGGTGACAAATTTGGGGAGCAGAGCTCAATGCATCCCTGGAGTGGCTGTCCCTCCATCTCAGCCCCCTTCTTCCCCTTCCTTCACAGGAGTGCCAGCTTCTCCCAAGCCACAAGGTCTGCCTTCTTCATGCGGAGTGACACAGCAGTCCAGAAGCTCTCACAGGGCAACGGGCACTGTGTGAATGGGGTCGGCGGGCAGCTCCACGGCTTTTACAGCCTGCCAAAACCGAGCCGGCACAACTCGGAGTTCAGGGACAGTGCGTATGACCTCCCACGCGCCTTCGGTTCCTACACCCACCCCAAGTTGAGCCTCACCAGCTCCGAAACAGATAATGAGGAGGTCTACACCTACAAGACTCCCAACAACACCCTATGCAAGGAGTTTGGGGAGCTCTCCACGGACTCCTATGACATCCCTGCCACCCCACTCTCCATCTACCAGATCCCCAGGACATTTACACTGGACAAGAACCACAACGCTCTGGCCGTGGCTGCCAGCGACTCACCTGCCGCGCCACCCCCGCGGCCCCCAAAACCTGGGCAGACGGAGCCGCAGTGGGGCAGCCCGCCCCAGCGGCCCCAGCCTGGTGAAAGCTTAGGGCTGGCCCCCATGGCAGCCACCATTCCCCGGAGAAACACACTGCCAGCAGTGGAGAACAGCAGGCTGCACAGAGGTGAATTTGGGGATGGGAAGCAGGGGGTGGCTTTGTCCTATCTGGCAGCCTTGGATGGGGTGGTCCCATTGGGTTGCAGTAGGGCTGGGGTGGCTGTTTGCATCAGCCAGGAGGTCGAACACAAAAAAGGTCTCCTTGGTGAGGATCTGGCCTTGCTTTTTGTATGTAATGGGCATGGAGAGGCATCCCCAGGGCTCTGCCCACCTAAGCTGCTCAGCTGGCTCTTGGCTGTTTTGTGTCTTGAACCAAAACCCCAAACCTGCTTGCCTGTGCAGCCCTTCACCAGGTTTTGGTGATTTTGGCCATTTTTAGCTTGCTTTTAGTTCAGTTCATAACCAGGGTTATCAGAACGCACGTCAGCCTGGAGCTACCTTGGTTTTGCTCACCAGACAGGGACATAATTTTGCACATCTCCAAGACCCGACACACTCAGTGCAGCAGAGCTGTCCTTGCCATTGGCCATGGATGGGCTGTGGATAAGGTTGCCCTTTCCAAATCTGGTGCCTAGGATGAGATGGTTGCAAAGTAACTTAGAAGAGGTGGTTGGAGAGAAAACATACTGTAAATGATACACACAGCTCCTTGAAATGCCTCTTCTATCTCCTCCTACCTAAATACCAACATTTAGGCTGAGATCAGACCCACGCTCAGCAGTAGATAGACCAGTCTAAGGGCTTAGCACCCCATCCTCACCCTGTCTTCCCCTTATCAGAGGCTGCCAGCCCTTACATCTGCTGAGTGAGCTGTAACAGAGCTGGCTCTCTTAACCCAGTTTTGTCACCATGATCTACCTTATCTGATGTCTTCACCCCTGGGATTTTGCAGCACTTTGACAGAACCAGGTTAGGGCCACGCAGCATGTGCAGTTGCATTGACGCATGAGAGATGCTAATTGGGAGGGAGCATAGCAGGGAGTCTGTGACGGACTAAAAACCATGTCTTCCCACCAGCATCTCTATCATCAAGAATAGATACCACTCTCCCAGGACTTGGATTTTGTTTTCAGGGGCCCCTTTTATTAGCAGTTGCCCTGGGACACGTTGTGCATTTGTGGTTGTGTTGCAGCTTCTTCTTGCGAGACGTACGAATACCCACAGCATGGAGGCGGCAGCGCTGTGCAGTCAGTCGAGTCGATGAACGATGGGTACAACTCCTACCTGGTGAGTTGGCCTTGCTGTTGGCCACCGTGCTATAGGCATCATTTGCACCTTGTAGATTCAGAGACAAGTCAGTTCCAGGTGGGACATCACAGCCCCATCCTGCAGAGCTAAGTCAAGAAAAGAAGGGATTTATTACTGATTTCAGTTAAAACCGTGGTGGTCTGCAGGGTAGAGATGGAGGGACAACCACCTAACCCAGCACGGCATGCAGAGCTTTGCTTGGGTGCTTCCACAGAGTGTATCTGCCTGGAGCTTTGACCCAATAAAAGCACCCAAGAGTTTGGCTTCTCCAAAGCCTGGGATGCTGCTGAGCTGAATTTTGACATGTTGCCAGAAAAGCCTCTTTTGTACACTTTCTAAGATTTCCGGAGCTGGAAATGATATTAAAGCAGCCTTTCATACTGCATTTTAGTCATGGCCAGAGCCCAGGGAAAAATTACTTTCTAGGTTAAGCATACTTCTATAGCTCCCTCTGATCATGAGAAGAAGCTCAAGTCTGGGTGATTAAGACCTTTCCCTGAACTCAGGATGTTGCAATGTCTTGGAAACAGTGGAGGTAGACCCTCTCAGTGCAAACTGATGGCTGAGGAGGGGACAGACCATCCCTTCCCTCTGTGCTGAGATTTTAGAGCTGGTCCCACCTCAGGTGTGTGTTCAGTGATGATGAGATGAAGGGGTTTATAGTGAGTGGGATGGGGTTGAGCAGTGTCTGATGTTCACAGCATGTCTTCTCATTTGTCCCCCAGCAAGCCAAGGCAGCGGTGGCCCGCTCCCACAGCACCGACTCCGAGGACAACTACGTCCCCATGAACCCTGGTTCCTCGCCCCTGATCCACACCGAGAAAGCCAACGACAATGCCCAAAATCTCTACATCCCCATGAGCCCTGGGCCGCATCACTTTGACCTGGTGGGGTTGTCCTCGGCCACCCTCCCCGTGCATAAAGGAGGAGCCATGGCACAGTGCCACAGACGGTTGAGTGAAATCCAGCCCCCACCAGTCAACCGCAACCTCAAACCCAACCGGAAAGGTAGGAACGGTTGTCTGTAGGCATATATTTCCAGGAACCCTTCTATTCTTGTAATACTTTGGACTACATCTGTCATCTTGTGCACACTCAGTAGACTCCTATGTGTGCTTTGCTACCGCCAGCACAATCAGACATTCAGATCTTCCCCATCCCCTTCCTCTTTCAGGAGGACTGTGGTGCAAATGCAGCTTTTGTGGTGCTCAAACAACCCTTCCTGGCCTTTACATGAGATACATGTCTTAGGCAGGATGTCACCCCCTTTGCCTTCACCCCTCCCTATGCTCCACTCCAAAAACTCTGTGTTGTATTCAGATGACCCAAATTTCTCCTACTGTGTCCTACTGGCTGGATCTAGACACCTCTTCCCTTAGGGCTTTGCCTACATCCTCCAAATCCCTCCTCAGACCATATCCTGACAGATCACCAAGGAGATGCTGAGGAGGAAGGCTCCCATCATTAGGGTGTCAGCACCTAATGCCATCAACGTGGTAGGCAAGGGCTGGGGCTGGAGTGCAGTGGTCTTCTCTTCCACCTAATGCACCACCTGTGATGAGAAGAGCTTTCCTGTTACCCTGCAGATGTCCTTTCCCATTCTCTATGGGGAAATGCTCTGGCCAGAGGCAGCTAAGGGCTGGCAGAGCCTGGTCTTGTCCCCATCTAATGGCTCCCTGATGAATGGGTTTATTATACTCTGGGTTTGGGCATTTTTTAGCAGATCTCCATTCCCTGGGAGGCTCATTGCCTTTTTGGGGGCACCCCCATCCACTCTGGGACTGTGGGTCAGAGAGGAAATTCACTGTTTTCCCCCAGTTCTGGCATAAATGAGAGCAGGGATTTTGGTTGGGGTATTCGTCATCAGCAAGGAAAGCTGGGGGGGGCTGGTTAGCAGAATGGGAAGCAACCAGAAAATTGTCAGGGACCCTCTCATGCCAGTCATGGATGCTGAATTGTAGGAATGTGCTGCCTCTGAATAAAGGCTTTTCCCCTCCCCAGCAAAGCCATCGCCACTGGACCTGAGGAACAACACTGTCATCGATGAGCTTCCCTTCAAATCGCCAGTCACGAAATCCTGGTCCAGGCCAACGTGAGTAATGGTTGGGGTATGAATTCTTGCTTGGCTCCAACAGCAAATCTCTGGTCTCACCCTCGCTGGTGTCCACATGTAGCCACACTGTCACCTCCCCATGTCACCATGGATTAAACTTCTCTGGCTGAGTGTAAGGGGGATGTCAGCTGCCCTTCTGCCTCCGCTTGCTGCAGAGGTTTCTTCTGGCCCACCATCTCTTTTTGTTGAAGGGACACATTTCTCCTGGGCCACCTTGAATCAAGCTAGAAGTGAGCCCAGACTTTGGATGCAGAGCCAAATTCCCCCAAAAGCTGGATGATCCCTTCAGCCCTCATTGTGTTCTTTGTCGGTTTTAGAAACAGGAGCTGCAGAGCTGGATGATGCCATGCAAACTTCTGCACGGGGATGAAAGTCCACCTTGCCCAACACCCTACCCCCTCCAGGGACCAGCAGGAGCTATCTGGGAAGAGGGGCATTTATGGAGTAATTCTTTCCTAAAATACCGTGCCACACCATGGCGATTCAGGGCTCAGGGGTTTCCTTGGTCACATCATGGCCAGACTTAGGACCTGGGTCAGATGTTGTTGAAGCAGAGGGGCTCCTCTCTTGGACCCCTCACAAGCTCTGTCAAGAGTTGTAAGAGCCAGAGTCATATTCCCCGCATCACAGCTGGTGGCAGGACGATAAATTCGTTTAGGTCAGGATTTCACATGAAAGCCCAGCGTGTGGCTGAGCAGCTAATTAAGATCCCTTGAAGATATTTCTTATTTCTGGGATCTGGCACCACCCAGAGAGCTGTGGCTCTTACACAGGACCTGTGGTCCACCGTGCCTCGTGACCCAGCTGAGCCACCCCGTCTCGGCCGCACTGCGAGCACGGGGCATGATTTCACATCCAGCTCTTCCCCCAAAAACCCCCACTATAGTCTCAAAACGCAGGGTGACACTCACAGGGTCTGACCCAAGCTGTGTTTTGATTGCCTTGAAAGCAAAGCCTAGCCTGAAGGAAGTCTGCAAAATGAAACCACAGCACTTCAGAGCAAAGTCTGCCGGCCAAAAATAACAGGATTCTCACAATTCCAGTTCTGCTGCTAATTCGTGGTCTGATGTTGTCCAATGAAAGGAAGAAGCAAAGCTTGGCTGCTGTGACTCCTCTAATAAATTGGATTGTGTGGAGACTGACTGCAGGGCATGAGCGCTGCGTGCTGAAATCACAGCGTCAGGAAACAGCGAGCGGGGTTTGATTGACAAGACGTCCAACCCCGGAGAAGCTAATGGATTTTTCCCTTATCAGCTCATCATATGACCCTGCCTTTACTGCAAGGCAACAAATAGCTTTTTAAGACTTGAGCTTTAATGCCAGATGCTGATTGCATTATGTTATTCTGTATAATTAGATTTGGCCAATTGAAAGCAAGACAATGCCTCGGAGGTTTTGTTTTCCAGCAAAAAATTCGAATAGGGCCTTGCACGGTAAACAAATCCTGGAGCTGCGGTGAGGCTGGAAGTGAGAAGCTCCACCAAGGCTGGCCCTGCGTCCTCCACAATTAAATATTTCCTGTGAGATAAAAGAGTTCGTGGAGCCTGATTTATGTAGCTGATAGCAGAGTTATGGGTACGTAGCAAGCAAGGTGTTACTAAAAAGACCTAGAAAGAAAAAATTGAGAAGACCAGATCCAGTGATTGTCTGACCCGTGGGAAGGTCAGGTTAGGAGAACCTCAATACTGCCAGCCCTTCTTCATGCCCAGTCCCCAGACCTAAGCGTGGTGATATTTGGAGGCACCACGTGCTGCCCTCTCCCATCCCTCCTTGCCAGTGGATGAGCAGCACCTGGAACCATCATTAACCCATTGCCCCTTGTCCTTACAGCCAGACCTTCAACGCCGGCTCTTTGCAATACTGTCGCCCTGTCTCCTCCCAGAGCATCACCAGCACTGACTCGGGAGACAGCGAGGAGAACTACGTGGCGATGGTAAGGGCCCCATGGCTAGGATATATGGTTCTGGTGGGACATAGACATTCCCCAGCTCTGCAAACGCATTCCTAGCTCATGACATGGAAGTGTTCAGATAGCACTGCACGGTGCGCATCCTTACGTCCATCCCTACATGCATGGAGCAGTGGCTTTCATTCCTCAAATGACACGTCCCGTTGGGG